TTGGGTGGGCTCTAAATGTAATCATAAGTGTCCTTGTAAGAGTGAGACAGGAGGAGTAATGGTGAGAAAAAGGCAAAGTGACAATCAAAGCAGAGAGGGATTGGAAGAGTCTATACTTCTGAGTCTGAAGATGGGTCTATGAGCCAAAGGAATGCAGGCAGTTTCTAGAAGCTAGAAAGGCAAGGAGTCAAATTTTCCCTTACATCCTCTAGAAAAAATGCAGGCCTGCTGACAAGTTGATTTCAGACCACAGAAACTGATTTCAGACTCCAGAACTGTAAGATAATCAATTTGTGTTCTTTTCAGCTATTAAATATGTGGAAATTTATTATAGCAGCAATTAAAAAATTAATAAAAAACAATTTTTTTCAGGTGAGGTCTTCCTAAGAATAAAAAGCAAAAAACAAAAAAATTTTTGATTTCTTTAAAATGTAATTTATGCTGAATCCAAGGGGCACCAGAAAGAAAGGAACTTACATGTTTATTTAAAGCATTGTTTTTAACACTAAAAGTCAAGTAACAACTGAAACTCCAAAAAGAAATTTTAAAATTATACACAACTATTCAAAGTTGTCATAGAGCTGGGCATGGTGGCTCACGCCTGTAATCCTGGGAGGTCAAGTGGGGGGTGGGTCACTTGAGGTCAGGATTTTGAGATCAGCCTGGCCAACATGGTGAAACCCCATCTCTACTAAAAATACAAAATTAGCTGGGTGTGGTGGTGGGCACCTGTAATCCCAGCTACTTGGGAGGCTGAGGCAGAAGAATCACTTGAATCTGGGAGGCAGAAATTACAGTGAGCCGAGATTGTGCCACTGCCCTCCAGCCTGGGCAAAAAGGGCGAGACTCTATCTAAAAAAAAAAATTAGCTGGGCATGGTCATGCATGGCTGTAGTCCCAGCTACACAGGAGCCTGTGGGATGAGAATTGCATGAACCTGAGAGGCAGAGGTTACAGTGAGCTGAGGCTGCACCACAGCACTCCAGCTGGGCAAGACAGCAAGACTCTGTCTTGAAATAAATAAATAAAGTACAGTGTTATGATACTTTATAAAAAGAGATTCTAGGCCAGGCACAATGGTTCAGCACTCTGGGAGGTTGAGGCAGGAGTATCACTTGAGCCCAAGAGTTTGGGAGCAGTCCAGACAATATAGTGAGATCCTGTCTCTACAAAATAAAAATAAATTAGCTAGGCATGGTGTGCATGCCTGTACTTCCAGCTACGAAGGAGGCTGAAGTGGAAAGATCATCACTTGAGCCTGGGAGGTCAAGGCTGTAGTGAGCAGTGATTGTTCCACTGTACTGCAGTCTGGGTAACAGAGTAAGACCCTGTCTCAAAAAAAAAAAAAGAGAGATCCTACCTTATCTTACCTATCTTATCTGATACTTGGTAACACTGATATTTATCACTTAATGCTTCATACTCTTGATTTTATGATTTGAGCAGGCAGAATATAAAATAATGGGCATTTGTTAAAATGATGGCATCAATTATAATAAAATTATATGCTTTGAGGCCCATAAAAGATAGTCACAACCAGTCATTCTATGTTAGAGAAGTAATTTGAAGTTAGTCTCGGTTCATATCTTCTGTACTGGCATAATTGTTAGCAGTGCCTGTTTTCACTCCCAAGTCCTGGTAAATGATGGCTATTCTATATAATCCATTTCAGAAAAGAATAATTACACTGAAGTAATTTTATAAATTTACTGTTTAGTCTGTGATAGAAAATATCAACTATCACTAACACTTGGAAAATACAGGTGTGGCAGTATTTATTTATGAGACGAAGTTTAGCTCTTGTTACCCAGGTTGGAGTGCAATGGCGCGATCTTGGCTCACCGCAACCTCCGCTTCCTGGGTTCAGGCAATTCTCCTGCCTCAGCCTCCTGAGTAGCTGGGACTACAGGCGTGTACCACCATGCCCAGCTAATTTTTTGTGTTTTTAGTAGAGATGGGGTTTCACCATGTTGACTAGGATAGTCTCGATCTCTTGACCTTGTGATCCTCCCACCTCGGCCTCCCAAAGTGCTGGGATTACAGGCTGGAGCCACCGCACCCGGCCTCACAGTATTTAATATTCAATTATTTAAATAATTTTGCAACCACAAAAAAGAACGAGATCATGTATTTTGCGGGAATATGGATGGCGCTAGAGGCTATTATTCTTAGCAAACTAACGCAAGAACAGAAAACCAAATACTGCATGTTCTCACTCATAAGTGGTAGCTAAATGATGAGAATTTATAAACACAAATTAAAAAACAGGCCAGGCATGGTGAATCATACCTGTAATCCCAGCACTTTGGGAGGCCGAGGCAGGCAGATCACAATGTCAGGAGTTAGAGACCAGCCTGGCCAATATGGTAAAACCCCTCTACTAAAAATAGAAAAAATTACCTGGGCATGATGGCGAATACCTGTAAGCCCAGCTACTCGGGAGGCTGAGGCAAGAGAATCACTTGAACACGGGAAGCAGAGGTTGCAGTGAGCCAAGATCCTGCCATTGTACTCCAACCTGGGCAACAGAGCAAGGCTCCATTAAAAAAAAAAAAAAAAAAAGGAACCAACAGACACACACTAGGTCTACTTGAGGGTGTAAGGTGGGAGGAAGGAGAGAAGCAGAAAAGGTAACTATTGGGTACTGAGTTTAATTCCTGGGCGATGAAACAGTCTGTATAACAAACCCCTGTAACATGAGTTTATCTATATAACAAACCTTCACATGTACCTCTGAACCCAAAAGTTTAAAAATAAATATATAAATATGGCTGGGTGTGCAGGTTCACACCTGTAATCCCAGCACTTTGGGAGGCTGAGGTGGGTGGGTTTCTTGAGCCCCAGGAGTTTGAGACCACCCTAGCCAACATAGAGAAACCTCTCTCTACTAAAGATACAAAATATTAGCTGGGAATGGTGGTGCATACCTGTAATCTCAGCTACTCAAGAGGTTGAGGCACAAGAATCGCTTGAACCCTGGAGGTAGAGATTGTGGTGAGCCGTGACTGCACCACTGCACCCTGGGTGACAGAGCAAGACTGTCTCAAAAGAAAAAATAAATAAATTTTTTCCCCTACAGGGAAGCAAAGTAAATTTTGTGAGTTAAAAAGTACTAAGAGCCAGGTGCCAAAAACTATATATATAGTTGTTTTTTTTTTGGGGGGGGAGTCTTACTCTGTTGCCCAGGCTGATGTGCAGTGGCACGATCTCAGCTCACTGCAACCTCCACCTCCCAGGTTCAAGCGATTCTCTTGACTCAGCCTCTGGGAGTAGCTGGGACTACAGATACATGCCACCAGGCTCGGCCTAAGTTTTTATATTTTTAGTAGAGACAGGGTTTCACCATGTTAGCCAGGAGGGGGTGCCAAAATATTTTTAGGTGATTTTGAAACCATCGCAAATCGAAATCATTAATTTATTTAAGATTATTCAAAGAAAAATGTCAATATAACAACTATAATTCTAGATTGGATCATACCATGTTTCAAAATATAGAAGTAAGGCCAAGTGTGGGGCTTATATCTATAACCCCAGCACTTTGGGAGGTCAAGGCAAGAGAATTGCTTAAGCCCAAGAGGTTGAGACCAGCCTGGGCAACATAGCTCATGAGACCTTGTCTCTACAAAAAAATTAAAAAAATTAGCTGGGCATGGTGGTGCCTACCTGTAGTCCCAGCTACTCCGGAGGCTGAAATGGGAGGACTGCTTGAGCCCAGAAGGTCAAGGCTGCAGTGATCTGCTGTGATCATGCCACCACACTCCAGCCTGGGTGACAGAGTGAGACCTTGTCTCAAAAAAAAAAAACAAAAATGTAGAAATAAATGATTGTGAGCCTATTAACCTGATTATTCTGGAAGATACATGTTCCAAACAATCTCTAGATGAGATAACAGCTCCAAAGTCCTCCCTTTAATATCATATAATGTCATAAAAAGCTAAACAAATGGCTTAGATTTTAGGATTGAGGTCACTAAAATCAGTTTGGACACTCTAAAATTTGTATCTTACCCATAAAACTGAAAAGAATAATATGCTGACTCATGGTGCAGGCTTCTCTTTTATAATCATAAAAGCAGATCAGGCGGGGCATGGTGGCTCACGCCTGTAATCCCAGCACTTTGGGAGGCCGAGTTGGGTGGATCACGAGGTCAAGAGATCGAGACCATCCTGGTCAACATGGTGAAACCCATCTCTACTAAAATTACAAAAAAATTAGCTGGGCATGGTGGCACGTGCCTGTAATCCCAGCTACTCAGGAGGCCGAGGCAGGAGAGTTGCCTGAACCCAGGAGGCAGAGGTTGCGGTGAGCCGAGATCTCGCCATTACACTTCAGCATGGGTAACAAGAGCAAACTCTGTCTCAAAAAGAATAATAATAATAATAATAAATAAAAGCAGATCATTTTAAGGAATTATCAAACTTACATTTAGAAAGAACAGTTGGTCACGGTGGCTCACACCTGTAATCCCAACACTTTGGGAGGCTGAGGTGGGCAGATCACCTGAGGTCAGGAGTTCAAGACCAGCCTGGCCAACATGGTGAAACCCTGTATCTACACAAATACAAAAGTAGCCAGCCACGATGGCAGGTGTCTGTAATCCCAGCAACTCAGGAGGTAAAGGCGGGAGAATTGCTTGAACCTGGGAGGTGGACGTTGCAGTGAATTGATATCTCGCCATTGCGTTCCAGCCTGGGCAACACAGCAAGGCTCCATCTCTCAAAACACACACACACACACACACACACTAAGAATATGAAAAAATCTTTTCTTCCTAAGATTTTCTAAGGAACTGGCAAAGAAAGGGGTAAAAACAGTTTAAATGGTAAATTCAGAGTGGCCACATGAGATCAGCTTTCCACATTTGTGAAATATAATCATCTCTATTGAATGTTACTGAAAATGGAAACAGGGTAAAATATAACTGCAGAATACTGCTTTACAAAACTTTCAGAAAATCATATTCTTTAGGTATTTTTCCCATTCACTTCATATAATCTGGATTCATTCATGCCATAGTTTATTTACATCTTACAGTAACAAGTCTACTTGTACACATTGATTTCACAACATCAGTAAATTTATATACTTGGAGATTTGCTTCTGGATTAAAATTCTTCCTCTGCATCTCGTGACCGTTTCCGGGTATTCAAGGAATCTTCTGTCTGCAATGAACATGCAGAAGTAATAACAGTATCTCTAAATCCCTGAGGCTGCAAGATAAAAAATATAAATATAAAAATATGCTTTAAGAACATCTTCAAAAAAGACCTATTTTCAAAATATTTTTAAGTAATTGGTAAGAAAGCTACTTTGTTCTAGGGCCAGGTGTGGTGGCTCACACCTGTAGCTCCAGAACTTTGGGAGGCTGAGGCAGGCAGATGATGAGGTCAGGAGTTTGAGACCACCCTAGCCAACATGGTGAAACCCCATCTCTACTAAAAATACAAAAATTAGCGGGGCATGTTGGCGCATGCCTGTAGTCCCAGCTACTCGGGAGGCTGAGATAGGAGAATTGCTTGAACTTGGGAGGCAGAGGTTGCAGTGAGCCAAGATCATGCCACTGCACTCTAGCCTGGGTGACAGAGTGACAATTTGTCTCAAAAAAAGAAAAGAAAAGAAAGCTACTTACTTCTTGAGATAGAAATTTATCACCCACTGTGAATGAAGAGGATAAACCTCATGGTTATTTGTCTAAGCCTGGGCTATATGAGAATATTTTACATATACTTATTTATATGCATGCATACACACACACACAGAAATAACATTTTATTATAAAAATGTTCTCAGCTGGGCGCAGTGGCTCACGCTTGTAATCCCAGCACTTTGGGAGGCCGAGGCGGGTGGATCACGAGGTCAAGAGATCGAGACCATCCTGGTCAACATGGTGAAACCCCGTCTCTACTAAAAATACAAAAAATTAGCTGGGCATGGTGGTGTGTGCCTGTAATACCAGGACTCAGGAGGCTGAGGCAGGAGAATTGCCTAAACCCAGGAGGTGGAGGTTGCGGTGAGCCAAGATCACGCCATTGCACTCCAGCCTGGGTACCAAGAGCGAAACTCCGTCTCAATTAAAAAAATAAAAATAAAAATAAAATTAAAATAAATAAATAAAAATGTTCTCTAAAGGACAATCCTAACAAACTTTAAAATGGCTTTGTTAGAAGAACTGAAAGGAAATAACCTAAGTCTTCAATACTTTACAGATTTATTTTCATCACTAAATACTCTAAAGTTTTCCAACTAGGATATTTCAAATGCACCTGGATAGTGCAAAGTCCAGGTCAATAATTCAGTTTCAGAATCTCTATTTCTGTTTTTGTCCTTATAAAAATGAGATAAAGCCGTGAGCAGTGGCTCATGCCTGTAATCCCAGCACTTTGGGAGGCTGAGTCGGGCAAATCACTTGAGGTCAGGAGTTTGAGACCAGCCTGGTCAACATGGCAAAACCCTGTCTCTACTAAAATACAAAATTAGCCAGGTGTGTTAGCACACACCTGTAATCCCAGCTACTAGGGAGGCTGAGGCAGAAGAATTGCTTGAACCAGTGGGCCAGAGTTTGCAGTAAGCCAAAATCACGCCACTGCACTCCAACCTGGGCAAAATACAGCGAGGCTCCATCTCAAAAAAAAAAAAAAAAAAGAAAAATGAGATGCCAAAAATATACATGGTTCTCAACATTATTGGTAAATATGCATATTTTATCCAAAATATGTGTTCTATGATGTAAATTCACAGAAAAATTAACATCTTAAAGTGGGCTATATTTGGTGGCTACAATAGCTCTATAATACCTACAAGACCAAAATAAGTAATATTAGTTGTTTTTCTTTTCTGGAAATCTTCAACAACTTTCTCTTTAAAGATTTTTAATATCCTGACATTACATATGGCATGGAACATGCTACCCAAAAATAAGTATTTCCTCTGTTCTTAAGAATAAATTTCAGTCCATTTGTGACTACAATATTCTGTATATTACTATTTTGGGGACAATGTAAGCATCAAAAGCTGTCCTCAAATATGCTTGCTGCCTAAAGAAGTTAACAAAAGCAAGCTGTAAATTCTCTTTAGATAATTACTGCCCACCAATATAAAAATCCCACTCTCATCAAATAATACTGACTGTGATTTGAAACAGTACTGTGGATTCCTTCTGGCTGGGTGACTTGTACAATGTTGCCAACCTGCTCAAAGAAAAATAATACATACAAACACATGAACTTAATTAATTAAAACTTCAAATGACCAAACTCATAATTTAAATGTATAGGTTTATTATATTAATAAATCTATTATTTTTTTCTGTAAGGACAAAAAATAGAGAGAAATATTAAAATACACCCTTAAATACCTGTATGTATTTAACAGAGTTGTTTAGATGAGTGAAATTTTAAAGCCATCTAAAAGTTCAATGACTGATTTAAATAAACTATCTTATATATGAGATATTAGTTATGCTAAAAACTAAAGGTGGAAGGCCAGGCGTGGTGGCTCACACCTGTAATCCCAGCACTTTGGGAGGCCAAGGTGAGCAGATCCTGAGGTCAGGGGTTTGAGACCAGGCTGGCCAATATGGTGAAACCCCATCTCTACTAAAAATACAAAAATTAGCTGGGGGTGGTGGTGTGCACCTGTAGTCCAAGCTACTTGGGGGGCTGAGGCAGGAGAATTGCTTGAACTCAGGAGACAGAGGTTGGAGTGAGCCGAGATCGAGCCACTGCACTCTAGCCTGGTGCCTGGCAACAGAGCAACACTGTCTCAAAAAAAAAAAAAATGAGCCAGGCATGGTGGCAGGTACCTCTAGTCCCAGCTACTTGGCAGGCTGAGGCAGAAGAATCGCTTGAACTCAGGAGGCAGAGGTTGGAGTGAGCCGAGATTGTGCCACTGCACTCCAGCCTGGGCAACAGAGCAAGATTCTGTCTCAAAAAAACAAAACAACAAAACAACAACAACAACAAAACAAACTAAAGGTGGAAGAAAATATTCAACGAGATAGGAAAGTATTAATAATATACTAAATAAGTTATACTGAATAATCTTATATCTATAAGTATGTATACAGACATCTAAAAAAATTGATAGAAGACTACAACCAAAAAGTTAATAGTTGTTATCACGAGGTCAAGGTTGCTTGCTTGTATTTCCCAAACTGTCTCTAGTAAATCATGTATTTTTTTGTTACTGCTGAAGAACTGTGATAATTTCTTATACTACAAATGAGAAACACTTACTCATATTATACCAATAAAAATAAGACAGGAAGACATTGTTTTAAAATGATATGGCTCATGTCTGTAATCCTAGCTCTTTGGAGGCCAAGGCGTGAGGATCGCTTGAGATAAGGAGTTTGAAGCCATCCTGAGCAACACAGTGAGGCCCCCATCTCTACAAAAATAATAATAATAATAACATAAAATGATTACGTCCCAAAAATAAGACATGACAGAAGAGTATCTGGGATTTTATTATGTCTTATACAAAATAATATATAAAACTGAAAGCTGAAGGTAGCTGAGAAATTTCTAAGTTCTTATTAACTATATTCAAGTACTGTAACTGCAACAAAATAAACAAAAACCTTTAAAACTGCTTTTTGGCCAGGTGTGGTGGCTCATGTCTGTAATCCCAGCACTCTGGGAGGCTAAGGCGGGAGGATCACCTGAGGTTGGGAGTTCGAGATCAACCTGACCAACTTGGATAAACCCCATTTCTACTGAAAATACAAAATTAGCTGGGTGTGGTGGTGCATATTTGTAATCTTGCTTACTTAGGAGGCTGAGGCAGGAGAATTGCTTGAACCTGGGAGGCTGAGGTTGCAGCGAGCTGAGATCAGGCCACTGTACTCCAGCCTGAGCAACAAGAGTGAAACTCCATCTCAAACAAACAAACAACAACAACAAAACTGCTTTTAAGAATTACTTTAGGCTGGGCATAGTGGTTCAGCCTGTAATCCCAGAACTTTGGGAGGCTGAGGTGGGCAAATCACCTGAGGTCAGGAATTCGAGACCAGCCTGACTAACATGGAGAAACCCCATCGCTACTAAAAATACAAAATTAGCTGGGTGTGGTAGCATATGCCTGTAATGCCAGCTACTTGAGAGGTTGAGGCAGGGGAATCACTTCAACCTGGGAGGTAGGAGTTTCAGTGAGCCGAGATCACGCCACTGGACTCCAGACCATGCAATAAGAGCAAAAGTCCATCTCAACAAACAAACAACAAAAAATATACTTTAAAACTGATACACTTACAAGCAAAAAACCAAACAAAAAAAACAAAAAAATAAATAAATAAAACTGATACACTGTAACTTATTGACAACAGCCAGAATGTAGAAGCAACCCAAGTATCCGTCCACAGATGAATTAACAAAACGTGGTATGTATATACAATAGAATATTATTCAGACTTAAAAAGGAAAAAAATTCTGACACATGCTACAACATAATGAGCCATGAAGACATTATACTAAGTGAAATAAGTCAGTCACACCAGAACAAATATTGTATGATTCCAATTATACGGCGTAGGTAGACGAGTCAAATTCAGAGACAAGGTAGAATGGTGATTGTCAGGGGCTAGGGGTAAAAAAGAATGAGAGTTAGCATTTAATGGGTACAGAGTTTCAGTATGGGAAGATGAAAAAAGTTCTGAAAATGGATGATGATGGTTGCATAATATTAATGTACTTAATGCCAATGAACTATACGTAAAAATTGTTGAAGTGGTACATTTTTTTTTGACACAGCATCTTACACTGTTGACCAGGCTGTAGTGCAGTGGCGCAGTCTCAGCTCACTGCAATCTCTGTCTCGTGAGTTCAAGCAATTCTCCTGCTTCAGCCTCCCGAGTAGCTGGGACTACAGGCATGCATCACCATACCCAGCCAACTTTTTGTACTTTTAGTAGAGACGGGGTTTCACCATGTTGGCCAGGACGGTCTCGATCTCCTGACCTTGTGATCCGCCCATCTCAGCCTCCCAAAGTGCTTGGATTACAGGCATGAGCCACCGCACCTGGCTAAAGTGGTAAATTTTATGATATATATATATAACCACAATTTAATAAAACAGATATAATATGCTCCTGCCCCTTGGATGGAAAAAAAAAAAACCTGATATAATACACAAAATACATATTCTAAAGTAAAGGAAAATAAGATTCTCAGAGTTATAAGGGTCATTCATTTACACAAAACATAATGATTTGCTTTCAAAGACAATTCAAAAAGGACATTTTGGCTATGATTTGTTACTCTCTTAATTTTGAAATTGCCCCTCTTTTCAGACATAATTCAAAAGAAAAACAGAGACCAAAAAACAGCAGAATCCAAATGTCCTATACTCCATAATCGTAACTTTACACATAAACAAAATAACTACTAAGTAATATATATATAAAAATAGCTGTGTGCAGCCGGGCGCGGTGGCTCACGCCTATAATCCCAGCACTTTGGGAGGCCAAGGTGGGTGGATCACGAGGTCAAGAGATCGAGACCATCCTGGTCAACAAGGTGAAACCCCGTCTCTACTAAAAATACAAAAATTAGCTGGCATGGTGGTGCATGCCTGTAGTCCCAGCTACTCGGGAGACTGAGGCAGGAGAATTGCTTGAACCCAGAAGGCGGAGGTTGCAGTGAGCCGAGATCATGTCATTGCACTCCAGCCTGGGTAACAACAGCAAAACTCCATCTCAAAAAAAAAGAATAGCTGTGTGGAGCCAGGTGTGGTGGTTCATGCCTGTACTCTCAGCACTTTGGAGGCCGAGGTGGGCAGATCACAAGATCGGGAGTTTGAGACCAGCCTGGCCAACATGGTGAAACCCTGTCTCTACTAAAGAAACAAAAACAAAAATTACCCAAGTGTAGTGGTGTGCAACTGTAATCCCGGCTACTCGGGAGGATAACGCAGGAAAATCGCTTGAACCAGGGAGTTGGAGGTTGCAGTGAGCCAAGATTGCATCACTGCACTCCAACCTGGGCAACAGGGCAAGGCTTAGTCTTAAAAAAAATAAAGAATAGCTGTGTTGAGTGGGATTATAAACTTTTAGGGTTGATAATCTACCTTTAATGCAAAAATTCACAGAAAAAGAGAGGCAAGGTGTATTTTAACCTGCCTTTATTAGGAAATCACTTTTTGAACAACAAAAATCAGCTAGCCTGCCAAAAAATTAGTATCCAAATCACCTCATATCAACAGTATGTCCAAAAAAGATACCCAGTACATCCATCCCAAGGAAATTATTAAAAAGTAATAAGCTTTTAATAAGCATTTACATGCTTATTAAGAATCCTTAAGTCAGCGGGGCACAGTGGCTCATGTCTGTAATCCCAGCACATTGGGAGGCTGAGGTGGGTGGATCACTTGAGGTCAGGCATTCAAGACCAGCCTGGCCAAAACAGTGAGACTCCATCTGTATAAAAATACAAAAATTAGCCAGGTATCGTAGCACATGCCTGTAATCCAGCTACTTGGGAGGCTGAGGCAGGAGAATTGCTTGAACCGGGGAGGTGGAGGTTGCAAGGAGCTGATATTGTGCCACTGCAATCCAGGCTGGGTGACAGAGTGAGGCTCAATCTCAAAAAAAACAAACAAACAGAATCCTAAAGTCAAAGGGCCATTAATTATTCAGGCTGAAAATCAACCTCAAATTTCTAGGTAAAAATACCATTTTTATACATCATGTCTTTCTAGAAATCTTTTTTTTTCTTTTTCCGGAGACAGAGTTTCACTCTTCTTGCCCAGGCTGGAGTGCAATGATGCCATCTTGGCTCACCCTTGAAACCTCCGCCTCTTGGGTTCAAGCACTTCTCCTGTCTCTGCCTCCCGAGTAGCTGGGATTACAGGCACTTGCCACCATGCCCAGTTAATTTTGTATTTTTATTACAGATGGGGTTTTTCCATGTTGGTCGGGCTGGTCTCGAGCTCCCAACCTCAGGTGATCTGCCCGCTTCGGCCTCCCAAAGTGCTGGGATTACAGCTGTGAGCCACTGCGCCCGGCTAGAGATCTTTTTAATGAAAAACTAAACCAAAGAATCACTTGGCTCATGGCCCCAGCTGAGATGTAGCTTAACATATGGCTGAACTACATAGTTTGGGTCAGGAAGAAACAAGACAGAAGCACAATTTGTGCTCTAAAACTGAGCACACATATGAAACACTGTGTGGGGGTGTTGATTTATTACTCTACCACCAGATCTTCTTGGCAAAGAGTAGTGTAATTCTGAATAATCTTGGCCTCATATAATCATGAATATGCAAATTGGAGGAAAACCCACATATTATAAAGACACAGATAAAGGTATTTATTTTAATAACTGTTGGAATATTATTCCATCATTAGTCTAAGGGTAAAAATCAGGTGTTACTGGTAAAGGATGGGGTCTGGGGCATGAGACAGTACACTTAAGTTCATTCCCAATATAAATTGGCTATTTAAGATTTTATTTCTGAACGGATGCCGTGGCTCATGCCTACAATCCCACCACTTTGGGAGGCCAAGGTAGCTGGACTGCCTGAGCTTATGAGGTCAAGACCAGCCTGGGCAACATCTCGAAACCCTGTTTCTACAAAAATTACAAAAATTAGCTGGGTGTGGTAGTACATGCCTGTGGTCCCAGCTACTTGGGAGGCTGAGGTGGGACGACTGCTTGAGCCCAGGAGGTTGAGGCTGCAGTAACCTGAGATCATACTACTGCACCACTGCACTCCAGCCTGGACAACAAAGCAAGACCCTGTGTCAAAAAAAATTTTTTTTTACTGTTCCTATCCAAATGAAAAATGTTCTTTTTTTTTTGAGACGGAGTTTCATTCTGTTACCCAGTGGAGTGCAATGGCGCGATCTCGGCTCACCGCAACCTCCGCCTCCTGGGTTCAGGCAATTCTCCTGCCTCAGCCTCCTGAGTGGCTGGGATTAGAGGCACGTGCCACCATGCCCAGCTAATTTTTTTGTATTTTTAGTAGAGACAGGGTTTCACCATGTTGACCAGGATGGTCTAAAATGTTCATTTTTATAATTATTTTTCCCTGATATGAATTTCCATTTTCATCCTTTTAAAATAAACTAAAATTTTAAAAGCATAAAGCATACAAAATTTCATGCAACTTTTTTTTTTTTTTTGAGATGGAGTCTCGCTCTGCTGCCGAAGCTCACTGCAACCTCTGCCTCCTAGGTTCAAGCAATTCTCCTGCCTCGGCCTCCTGAGGAGCTAAGATTAAAGTAACCCATCACCATGCCTTGCTAACATTTTTGTATTTTTAGTAGAGACAGGGTTTTGCCATGCTGGCCAGGCTGTTCTCGAACTCCTGACCTCAGGTGCCTTGGCATCCCAAAGTGCTGGGATTATAGGCGTGAACCACCGTGCCCGGCCTGGAAATACCATTTTTAAAGTAGACACAAACTGCACTATCAGTTGCAAAAGATATATACAGAGTGTAATCAGTTACGACACGAGCTTGAGGTCAGTAAAACCTAACTTGGTCAGGCAGGATTTTTTATTTGTAGAACAACAAAGAAATGCAGATTAAAAAACAGACAATTTCACTGGCTAGGCCCAATATGTATTTAAGTGACCCTTTAGTCCATCTTTGCTTGCATGCGATCTTAATTTCTCCCTTTATTAGAGCATTTCCAAACCAAGATTTCTATGTTATACCAATTAATCACAAAGCAGAGAGGCTAGCATAAATCTGACATTTTCTGTAAGTGTAGGAAGACTTCACAGCTTTCAATGGCCTATTTTCAAGAAAATAAAAGCTGCTTTGTTCACTTGCTCAGCTGCTTTAAAAAACAATACAAGACTTCATGCTGCCACACTTTTAAAGAACAATACTTGTGAAAGTGGATAATAAAAGCCGGACAGCAAAATACAAAATAAAAAAATAACAGACCACAATTTCATACAAGAAATACACTAAGCAACTAAGAAAACAATCCTATCTTCCAAAGAAATTAATTTTAAAGCTAACTTCAACAATTTTCCTTTTGTCCTGATTTATTCTTTCTTGAACATAGAGTACTAACCTCCTTCTACATGGCTAATAAATGATTTCAAAGTGCTTTAGAAAATGGCATTCCTTGGCCACCTACTCATTTCAGGTGCGAGCACCCCATCATTTAAATATTCCAGAGAATTTCCTAAGTAGCTAAATGTGCAGTAATAACAACACATTTCTATGTTTCCTCTAGGTGATATCAGACAAGGCAACAATATAGATCATTGTACATCTAACCCACAGGACTAGCTCTAAGAAACTTCTAAGTGTTCATTCAGTGTAATCAACCCAATATTCAGAATTATTAACTTGTTTCTATACTGACCTTTGCTTTAGGTCCCAATGAAAGATTAGCCGTATTGTAGCAGCATGTCCCCAACTTTCCCCTGAGAGTAAAGAACATAATAACTGTATATTGCCTTACTGACTTGGTTATAAATTTCTCAGAATGCCCCTGATCAAGTATAATCTTACTTTACTTAATTTAACATAACAAAAGTATACTTGCTTTAAAAAAAAAAAAACCTGGGAAATGAGTAACATCCTGAGATTATAAGATTTTTACCTATCTAGGGGTATATTGCAGATCATTATCCTCTATTTGCTTTGAGAAACTTAATAGTCTGAGTCATATATTTGCCAATTTTCCAAATCATCAAACTTAACATATTTCTGACTTCCAGAAGAAAAGTAAAAACTCTGGTAAAATATTCTTTAAGATTTTAGTGGACATACATCTTGAAGCATTGCATTCTAACAAAACCACGATATTTACTGTAGTGTGATTTAAGTGGATTCACCCCTCCTTCTGCCTAACGCTGTGAATTATCTGGGGGCAAGAATCTTTGACACAGTAGTTGCTAGACAGTAGATAATCAATTTTTTGAGACAGTCTCGCTCTGTCACCAAGGCTGGAGTGCAGTGGCAGGATTCTAGCTTCTCACAGCCTGCATCTTCCAGGTTCAAGCAATTCTCATGCCTCAGCCTCCCAAGTTGGTGGGATTACAAGTGTGTGCCACCATGTCTGGCTAATTTTTTGTATTTTTAGTTGAGATGGGGTTTTCACCATATTGGCCAGGCTAGTCTTGAACTCCTGGCCTCAAGTGATCCACCTCAGCCTCCCAAGGTGCTAGGATTACAGGTGTGAGACACTGTGTCTGGTCACTCATAAATGTTAAGTAACTAAAAGAAACAGTCAGTATCTAAGGGTACTGTACTTAGTGCTAAGATTAACCAGTGAACAAGACAATACAGTCTGCTTTCATGGAGCTTATAGTACTCAATGAGAATCAAATGAAAGAGATAGGAAAAACTGTGATTAACTAAACTGTTTATCTCATTGCTTACCCACCTAAAGCAGGAATGAGCAAGGCCTGATTTTTATCAATCTTGTTGTCATCTGATTGGTTAAATTACCTATTAAAACAAAATGTAAGAAAATTAGGTGAGTCTCTTTAAAAAATTATCAAGTAAAGTCTTGTGATTTTAATAATCTGAAAACAATCTAACTACTAAAGATGGCCATTTATGTAATAAAAGTTTTTCTGATTAAAAAACTTAAAAATCTACCCATAAAATATGTAGTTATCTGAAAACACAATTCTACTGATCATAAAATATTTTATTTTCATACTTTAGAGATGGGTCTTGCTAGGTTGCCCAGGTTGGGCCTAAAGTCCTAAAATCACACAATCCTCCACCTCAGCCTCCTGAATAGCTGGGACTAGAGGATTTTCCACATCTAGCTCACAAAACTTTTTTTTTTTTTAAGGGACATGGTCTTGCTATTTTGCCCAGGATTTTCTTGAACTCCTGGGCTCAGCAGTCCTCCTGCCTCAGCCTCCCAAATGCTGGGTTATAGGCATGAAACACGTGCCTGACCTACAAAAACTTTTTAAACATCGGCTGGGCATGGTGGTGCACAGCTGTAGTCCCACCTACTCAGGAGGCTAAGGTGGGAGAATTGCTTGAGCCCATGAGGTTGAGGCAGGAGTGAGCCATGATCATGTCACTGTACTCCAGCCTGGTGACCAAGCAAGACCTCATCTCAAAAAAAAAAAAAAAGAAAGATTGAGTCTTGCTCTGCTGCCTAGGCTGGAGTGCAGTGGCGCAATCTCGGCTCACTTCAACCTCCACCTCCCAAGTCAAGCAATTCTCCTACCCCAGCCTCCCAAGTAGCTAGGATTACAGGTGCCTGCCACGACGGCTGGCTAATTTTTGTATTTTTAGTAAAGACGGGGGTTCACCATGTTGGCCAGGCTGGTCTTTGAACTCCTGACCTCAAGTGATCCACCTGCCTCAGCCTCCCAAAGGCTGGGATTACAGCATGAGTCCCTGCAACAGGCCTGAGTCACATTCTTTATCACTATTACCTCCCAACTATTTTTTTATTCAAAGGAATATGAAATCCTTATAATACCTCAATGTTTACATTTTAGGAAGGAGTAAATATAGTTTATTTTATAATCTTATAGAAAAAAGAAACTGGGGCACAAATTATGAGAAGAGATTTAAATCATAAAGAAAGTACAATATAAGTAGATGAACTAGGAAAAAAAAAATCCTAGTAGCCAGGTCAAATGACTCCAAATTATGATTATCTAGGCAGCTAGTAACAGCCCAGGTGTTGCTCTGGAACTCACAGATGGCCCTCAGTTTCACATTGCGAATTCTCTTGGAATAAATACTGACCTACAGAAAAGTTTCCAGGTTTGAAAGATAGTAATTTTAAATAATACAGGGGAAAACAAAAGTGGTTTAAGGCTGACTTAACATAGAAGTCAGATCTGTTATTTTTCTACCCCGACATCTCCAGAAATCGTTACTTTATATATTCTTCTAATACAGACTTCCCTCCAGAAAAAAGAGTTAATATTGCAAGTAAAAGTGATAACAATCCCATGAAAAATGGTAAGAAAAATTGTCTACTCTAAAATGAATTTTTTATGTAGAAAACTGGAAACAGGCTGGGCGCATGGCTCACACCTGTAATCCCAGTGCTTTGCAGGGAAGAGGTAGGCACATCACCTAAGGCCAGAGTTCAAGAACAGCCTGGCAACATGTCAAAACCCCATCCTAAAAAATACAAAAGTTAGCCAGACATTGGGCAGGCACTTGTACCTCAGCTACTCTGGAGGCTGAGGCAGGAGAATCACTTAAATCCAGAAGGTGGAGGTTGCAGTGAGCCAAGATTGCACCATTTTACTCCACCCTGGGCAACAGAGCGAGACTCCATCTCAAAAAACACAAAACCTGAGGGGAAAAAAGGTTATTTG